CTGCCCAGCCATCAATGCAGAGAAACTGGCCCTGCTCTCAGACAAACCACAGACTGCCTGCAATCTATTATTCTTTGGTTTTGTACTCAGAAATCTATTATGAGATTACTTGATTGGGTGGTGACAAAATTTCTCTTTGTTTTTTTGTCATAAAATAGCATACAATTCCATTGAATGAATTGCATTTTTTCCCTTTCTTATGATTTGCTCAATCTACATGATAAAAAAAAGAAGAAGATATGATAGCTTATTTGAAACTATTTTCATGTGTCTTGGGTTAGGATGTTGGATAAACTAGTTTTATGTATTTATTAGATTCTTATTGAAGACTATTATCGACACACTGATGATGAACACAAAGAAATCACATTTATCTGGAATAACCATCCCTAAATACACTGCAGCCCAACGATGATACAAGACAATACAACCTAATTAATCCACAAGATAGAGTAAAAGAAAACTCTTTGCCAGTTTTAGTGGATGATAAATAAAGATGTCAATTTAGATTTAGAGCAAAATCGATTTAGGCCAAAATCAATTTATGCCAAAATTAGATTTAGGGCAAAATACAAATTTAGGGCAAAATACAGATTTAGGGCAAAATCGATTTAGCCCAAAATCAATTTAGGCCAAAATCGATTTAGGCAGGAATGGAGAATGGAAACTGTGCTCACTGGTGGAGGCTGTGCTCAATGCTCAGTCATTGAGTCGCTGGTGGTCCTCCGATGGTCTGCTGAGTCGCTGATGGAGCAGCTGTGGAGCTATTCAATATTCGGTTGGAGTGCGTCTGAGTAATACCTGGCTGAGTGGTTGAGGAGGAGGAGAGGAGTTCATCATTGGAGGAGGAGGGGAGGAGTTCGTCGTTTGAGGAGGAGGGAGAGGAGTTCCTGGTTGAAATATTTGAAATTTTTTGACCTACCCAGTTATTTGTGAATTTTTAACCGATGTGAATAAACGATGAAAACGTCATTACAAATGACGTTTTTAAAAAAGTCATTCAAAATGACGTTTTCATCCCCTTTGTAATTTTTAACGTCTGTTAATGCCATTTAAAAAAATCAAATTTAAAAACTTCATTCTGAATGACGACTTTAAAAACGTCATTTATAATGACGTTTTCAAGAAAAATATTTCAACTTCAAATCGTCATTTCAAATGACATTTTCAGAAGAGAATACGTCATTTCAAATGACGTTTTCAGAAAAAGACTAGATTTGAGAATTAAGTTTAAAAGTGCCTGATTTTTGGAATTAAGTTTTCATGGGAGCTGGGTTTGGGGAAAACCTTAAAGATAAAGAGATATATATGATTTATTAGAGATTAATTTGCNAATTAAGTTTTCATGGGAGCTAGGTTTGGGGAAAACCTTAAAGATAAAGAGATATATATGATTTGTTAGAGATTAATTTGATATTTAAATACATAGGGATATAATGATAATTTATATATTTAAATACAAAATGGCATGTTAGCCTTCATAGTTTGTTATAAAGGTAAAATAGTTAATCAAAAGTTTTTCATACTAAGGTACTTTTAATAGTAGTATAAATAGAGTAATATTAGACTGACCAAATTTTGGGACCAAATTTAGAGCCCAAATGACATGACAGTTGATTATTTGAAATTTTTATTGGGACCCAAATGACATGACACCAATCAGAGAAGTCCAAGTCAAGTACCATGTCATTTGGGATCTAAATTTGGTTCCAAAATTTGGTCAGTATAACATTACTAGTATAAATATATAAATATATATATATATATAATAAAAATAAAATATAGATAATATCTACTAAAACTCTAATAACAAATATTATCTCTAATAAAATATAAGTTCATTAATATATATCTATCTATATATATCTATACCGATATCTATACAATAAAATAGCTAGCTTAGTTTGTATTGAGTTTTTCGTGGATTAGATTGATTCAGTGTTATTGATCCAACAATCCTAATTAATCTACATTCCTAGAGGACTCTACTATATTCCTTTTATATCTCCTCATCCCCATTCAAACTATTGGAGAGATTGACTTGGACAATTATATATACATATCAAAACTCTAATAACAAGAATTATTTCTAATAAAATATAAGTTCATTAATATATGTCGTCGTATCTATATCTATATATATAATCTAATATATATAATAAACAATTTAAACGCGTAGTTTAAAATTAACAAAATAATGTTGTGGCGAATAGGTTGGCAGCGCAAGCTGTGCTTTTCTCAAAGGACTGTTGACTGTACAGTTGCATTCAGATTGTCTTGTGAGGTTGTTATTGCCTTGTACTAGGATTTGAGGTGACTGCCAGTGTTTCGGAAGAAGAGAGTGTTGGTTTTGGATGATAAGGGCTAAAAGTGATGATGCACAAATTGGTATTGCGCAAGATCAACAGTTAAGTATATCAAGAAGTACAATTAATGAGCAGTAAATAGTTAATCAATGACAAACATTAAATACTGAGTCAACACCAAGATTTATAGTGGTTCGGTCCGGGTGACCTATTCCACTCTCAGGAACGACAACAGTGGCCGAAGATCTTTTTTGATGAATAATGTAACTGGGAGAGAGTATTCTCTAAGAGTATTATAATACTTAAAAGGAGAGAGAGAGAAAAAAAAGCAATGTATGTAGGAAGGTGTAGTATGTGTAGGGATCTCAAGGTCATGAAGGCATGCCCTCAATGTGCAGAGGACTTACATTATATAGGTTCACCATTGCGNAAAAAAAAGCAATGTATGTAGGAAGGTGTAGTATGTGTAGGGATCTCAAGGTCATGAAGGCATGCCCTCAATGTGCAGAGGACTTACATTATATAGGTTCACCATTGCGGTGACGTGAGAAAGAGGATTTTTACCATTTTGGTAAGTATAATTTTAGTAGGATTGGATCTCTGTATCTCGATATTCTCTCACTCGTGTCCCTTTTCTGTCGGAGGATGATCCTGATCTTGAGCTTGGACTTAGAGTGGGCTAGACTTGGACTTGCATTAGAGTGAAAAAGGGGGAAGAGGAACAAGAGGACAAGCCATGGGTGGCGCCCACTTGGAGACCATATGGGCGGCACCCTCCCCCCTTTGGGGGATCCTTGACGATGGCCTCTTGGCTCCTTTGGGCATGGGTCTCTTGATGTCTTTTTGGATTTCTTCCTGATGGGTCGACCTAGGTTCAATTGGGCTTTTCTTTGTGCTTTCTTGGTTTATTTAAATTGGGTTTGACTCAGTTAAATTCGGGCTCATCAAAAAGGATTTTTGGTCTTTTGTTTGAAGTCTTTTGAGTAGGATATAAGTTCTGCTGGAAAAGGAGTTGTGCTCTAAAAGTTTTGGTAGTAGATTATTCTTTTTGAGTTTATTTTACTTTGTNAGAAATGATTTTTGGCCTTTTGTTTGAAGTCTTTTGAGTAGGATATAAGTTCTGCTGGAAAAGGAGTTATGCTCTAAAAGTTTTGGTAGTAGATTATTCTTTTTGAGTTTATTTTACTTTGTTTTNAAAAAGGATTTTTGGTCTTTTGTTTGAAGTCTTTTGAGTAGGATATAAGTTCTGCTGGAAAAGGAGTTGTGCTCTAAAAGTTTTGGTAGTAGATTATTCTTTTTGAGTTTATTTTACTTTGTTTTTTGTAAGGCGTCTGTGCATTTGAGGCGGTTTGTAAAGGGAGGTGATTACCTCTTATTTGCTACTTGTAATCAAGCTTAGCTCTACCGAGGATGTTCCACCATGGGAGATAAGTGTAATTATTAGTGATATTAGACATTTTGCTAAGATTCGAAATCTTAATTTTTTATACAAGCCTCGAGCCTACAATAAGGCAGCTCATTGGATGACAACCGCTCACTTATTCNAAGGAGATGATTACCTCTTATTTGCTACTTGTAATCAAGCTTAGCTCTACCTAGGATGTTCCACCATGGGAGATAAGTGTAATTATTAGTGATATTAGACATTTTGCTAGGATTCGAAATCTTAATTTTTTACACAAGCCTCGAGCCTACAATAAGGCAGCTCATTGGATGACAACCGCTCACTTATTCAATTCTCTTCCATTCGATTGGATCGGCTCCGCCCCACCTGAGCTTAAGACTTTTCTTTTGAATAATTATAATTAAAACTTTTCTACATAATGCATTTCATATGGTGGTCCGATTGCTCAAAAAAAAATTTACCTCTTTTGTGGATAAATAAATTTCTTTGTTTATAAAAAAATAAAAAAATAAAAAAAAAGAACAAAAACAAAAAAATTAAATTAACAAAATAATAATACAATAATAAGGATTATTGCTAACAAAATATAGGTTTATTAACATATGTTGTCTTATATATATTTATCTATCTATATTTATATATATAATCAATAATATAAAACATGACAAACTTCAATAAATATGGTCTTAAACAGACTTATCTAACACTGACAATCACTAATATCTATCTCAATACNTCTATCTATCTATATTTATATATATAATTAATAATATAAAACATGACAAACTTTAATAAGTATGGTCTTAAACAGACTTATCTAACACTGACAATCACTAATATCTATCTCAATACTATTCACATTGAATTCTCCTCTTCTAAATCCATCACTTATTATTTACGTTATACCGTGTCTTCAAGCATGAGTTACTCCCAGTATATTTATAAGTAGTATAAATATATATTTATGATAAATAAATAAATAAATTGACGCATTCTGAAAATAAAAAAAAAATTCACGTATTTTATCAAGCGAGCCGTCTGGCTTCTCTGCTTTTCGCCTCACTTCACCCCGCCCTTCTCCGTCCTCGTCCCTCGCCGCTCTTCTCTCTCCCCTCCGTCTTCTCTGCTTTCCTCCACCTTTCCTTCTCTCTCTCCTCCCTCACCCGCCCTTCTCACCCTCCTTCAATTACGTCACCTTTCTCTTCTCTCCTAGACGCATCTCCCTCTTCTCTGCAAACCGACAGCTGCTCGACTCAAACATCCGCTCGATTCCCAGTACCTCTAGAGTAATGGCGCTTTCGAAACCCAAAAACTCCCAAAATGTAGAGCTCCTGAAGTCCGACATCGCATCCTTCGCTTCCTCAATCGGCCTCTCTTCCTCTCTCCCCTCCTCCGGCTTCGACGACTCCGATTTCCGCAAGACCGGCCCTCTCAAGCCTGTCAACCAAAAAACTTCAAAGCAACCAAAGACCCAAAGCTTTAAAAAGCCCCAAAGCTATAAAAAGCCACAAAACAATGACAAGCCCAGCGATAACAAGAAGAAACAGCGGCTCAACCATAAGGTGCAACCCTTGCTGTCCAATACTTCAAAAGGAATTGATAACAAATTGATGAATCTCCCCAAACTTCCACTGGTGAAAGCGAGTTCATTGGGCGTGTGGCATATGGATTTGGCGGAATTGGAGGAGAAGGTGATTGGAAAGGAAGCGAATAAGACCGTTGAGTTTAAAAATGTGGAGGAATGGAAGAAATTGGTGGAGAAGAAGAAAGAATTAGCAGAGAGGCTGTTGGCACTGTACGCACAGGACTATGAGTCGTCCAGGGGGCAGAGTGGGGATATAAAGATGCTCACTGCTACGCAGAGGTCCGGAACCGCCGCCGATAAGGTGTCCGCTTTTTCGGTAATGGTTGGGGAAAATCCAATCGCGAATATGAGATCACTTGATGCTCTTATAGGTAATTTTCTTTGGGCCATGTCCTATATTTAGTGTTTATACCACAGTCGTTGCTAATATTCATTATTTAGTTCGATTTCTTTTACCAGTTTGCATGATTTTGGATTTTAGTCAAAATAATCCTTGACAAACTACACATTGAAGTTTTTAGAAGTGAAAAACAAAGGTTGGATTTTTTATATTCGGTGTGCAATTATCAAGTTCTGAGTTTAACATGATGTGGATTTTATTTTTTGGGAAAAGAACCAATTTAGAGGTTAGTAAGCTCCTTGGAGTTAATATAGTGGAATAGACTTTCTAATTGCATCGGAGTCTAGAAAAGTCTGGTGACATTGAAGCTTTGGAAACACAGCTGCTGAATAAGTATGAAGCTTTCCAGTGCCATTAGAAGCACGACAAGTAAATAAAGCATTAAGTATTTAATTTCATGACCTCTTTTGGTGGTTAAAGGGCCTCAAATGAAATCCACAAAGATAACATCAGAGGATCGTAGCATCTTTTCGTTAGCACACCGAATTGTGATGCAATGGCAAATGGTGATTATTTGAATCGTGAGTCAGCTATCATGAGTTAGTTGATTTCTGTCCACTTTAGCTTTGCACTTTTGTGATGGTTCTTGGTTTTTTTGTTACGGTAGGATTAGTACTTAAAACAAACGTTGTGAGTGAAGTTACAGTTCTTGCGGGCTCATGGGAGTTGGCCTAGAATCCTTAATGCTAAAAAAGGATGTTATGTGTGCATCTGAATATAGATCATATTACCAACTGAGTTTAATTATTAGCTTTAATTACTGCAAATTCTGTTGATATTCTGGACAGCATTATGACCATGTAACTTGATTTTTCTACTAATGGCATTAAACTGCAGGAATGATTACATCAAAAGTAGGAAAGCGCCATGCATTGACAGGTTTTGAAGTGCTAAAAGAACTTTTTATTTCGAGGTTCTCTCTCTCTCTCTCTCATAATGAATTTTGTTTTCTTTATTATGCTCTGTACATCTTTGTTCTTGCTTGCCCCTATGCANCATAATGAGTTTTGTTTTCTTTATTATGCTCTGTACATCTTTGTTCTTGCTTGCCCCTATGCAGGNTCTCATAATGAATTTTGTTTTCTTTATTATGCTCTGTACATCTTTGTTCTTGCTTGCCCCTATGCAGGCACATAGTTGTAGTTATGGTCCATGTGTTAAATGCATGATATGACTTGAACATGTCTCAGTGGTTTCATGCTCTATTTGACTGTTTCTGTGTTCTCTTCCCAGTCTGTTACCTGATCGTAAGCTGAAGACTCTATTTCAGCGGCCTCTACATCATCTTCCTGAGTCTAAAGACGGTTACTCTCTTCTACTCTTCTGGTATTGGGAGGATTGCCTGAAGCAGAGGTGTGTCTAAACCTTACTTCTTCCCTCCTACCCAGAACTTATAACTGCACACAGCATGGCTATCTTCTATAAGTAACTATCTTAAAGCAAACTTAATGGACGAGGTTTTTTCAGCCTTCATTTTTTTTATGTCCCTGGACTTTAACTCAATGCCCCTCTTCATACTACTATGGCACAATAAGAACTTGGTTATATTTTGTGATGGTATTTCCTTGTAATTCAGCATAATCGGATGTATTGACAGTTTGACAGCTGAATTAAGACAAGACAGAGATATGGGGTTATTGACTTATTGGTATCATTTGTGTGTTGTCATATTGGATTATATATGAATCCTTTTCATTGAACGATGACCAATTATTGCAGGTATGAACGCTTTGTGTTTGCCCTTGAGGAAGCATCAAGAGATGTGTTAGCTATAATAAAAGACAAGGCATTGAAGGTTAACTGTTCTTTTACGTTTTGCACAACACTTTCTCTGGCTTTTATGTATATTGATTGCTGAATGCTGATGTATGCTCTCCTACATGTAATATGTTACTTCATGCCCTCTTACTTCAGAATATGCGTGATATATTACATTAACTCATGTTAATCATATTCAACTGGTGTTGTTGAATGTCAAAGGGTGGACCCAAAAAAATTTGGATTTGAGACGTGTTAAACCTTAATAGTCATCAAAGTTTGCTAAAGTATTTTCCTCTTTTCATCCTAATCATACTCTTTGGGCGTCATATCATTTGGGTATCTTAGCTCTTCCATAGTTCAGTAACATGTTTGCGTTCCTTATGGTTTTGAAATTTCCAGTATACCCTTAGAGCCAAAACTAGGCATGGGGTGATATTAATGGCTGAAAACAATGTAATTAGTGTGCTTTGCTTTCCCAAGTCTAGATGAAGAGGTAGACATGTTGCTCCATAGGTGCACAATTTTACATTTTTTTTGTGAATGTCACTGTTCCAACCTATACTCACCAGAAACTGGCCTATGGGAGCAAATTTCGTATTAATCTCTAGGACCAATGCATTCGGACATGAGTTCAAGATTTAATTAGCCATGCTGTCGAAATGCTTAACTCGTCTTTCTTCCTTTTCATGTTTTCCTTGGTTGATGATGTACTTTAAACCAGGGCATCTACCACCCTGCCACTTTGTGACCCCTGGTTATTACTGGCCAAGGCACCAATATATGTTTTATTATATTAGGAAATGATACTACTTGGATATTTGGGACTATGCATTTTTGACCATTTCATTTTAGTCACTTTTTTTTTCTTCCTGTTTTGAAAGTTTTCATGCAAATTTGGTATAAGATAAGAAGTTCTTTGAATCTATCTTATTTTCTTTAATTCTTTCCAGACAATATACACATTGCTGAGGAGCAAATCAGAGCAGGAGCGGCGATTGCTCTCTGCACTAGTCAACAAGGTACGCTCCTATTTTACTTTTGCCTCATATGGAGATAATGAAACCATTTGTTAGACTTTGTTTTTGGAGCTTAGTGTGGCTGTTGAGTTCTTTGGAATACATTTCATCTATTGCTTGACTGAAGCTAGGGGATCCTGAAAATAAGGCTGCATCTAATGCTGATTTTCACTTATCGAGGCTTTTGTCTGACCATCCAAATATGAAGGTAACTATCTATCATTGGTACTTTCAATTCACATTGGGACCTAGTTGTTTAATTGATTAACTGCTTTTAACTAGTTTATGCAGTATAGAAAACTTCTAGTTTCATTGGAGAAATGGATTTGGGAACCAAGAAACATTTGTTGGAGCTGAGTTCTTAGAATTCTTTATCTATAATAAGCTTAACAATAAGGTAAACATTAGGACCAGCCTGCTTTGCCATTATTTGGATTTAGGACACCTCACAAAGCAGAACTAGTTTTAGTACAGTTTGCAGGCATATTTACTACTATGGAATCAGCTATTTGTACTAACAAGGGGATTCTCTTCCCTTACTCAAAAGAAAGATGAGTATTTATCGTGAATCAGGAGTCAAAGTTTGACAGGTGATCACTGATACTTTATGATGCCGACTGATACATTATGATGCCACATTTTGAGTTTCTGGGGTTCTATGAACTAATTTTGAAATGACTGTTGACTTCCTTTTTAGCATCTTTGGAAAGATATTAATTTGAAGAAGAAAAATTAGGATTGTAAAATTTGACACAACTTGGAGAATGAAATTACTGAGAGTGTTATATCTTTGATACACACGAAAAATATTTTCTACAAAATGTTGAAAATGGTAGTTAAATTGATTTTAGCTTGATTGTTCTGTCTATAGGGAAACATTATGATTATTATTTCTTGAAATGTGAACTAGAACAAAAGTATGGCAATCATATAGCTATAAAACCAATGTTCTTAAGAATATGATGAGCAAGCAATGTTTTTTGTGTGAACAATTTACCTCCTTTTTATTTATTTGGCCTTTTGTTGTCCCCTTACAGGTTGTGGTGATTGACGAGGTGGATAAATTTCTTTTTCGGCCTCATTTGGGATTACGAGCCAAGTACCATGCTGTATGTCCAGATGACTTCTCTATGCATTTTTGTACTTCAATTTTTGCTTTTCATTCTCACGATGTTTGGCTCCCTGTTCTTGACCATGTTATTGCATTTCTTGTATTTTAGCATTTTTGTCATGGATTTTTGCAGCTTGCCAAGATGATACTGAAAACCAACTTGATGTATTGTTTCTTTTGCTTCTTCTTCATTGAAAATGGTTCTTAATTTAATTCTTGCAAGATGGCTATAGATTTGATATGTAAGGAGGATCTTAGAAAATTGTCATATGATGTTCCTGTTTCCTTGTGTTAGGTATTAAGCTACAACTCCTCTGGTATTGGGGTTTATGGTAAGATTTGGATCAATATCTTCCAAATATTGAGCATTTGATTTTTATTTTGTCAGAATCACATTAAGATTTGTTTGATTCTTAATATGGCGAGTTTGCCTACTCTTAGAATCAACTATTAATGAAAATGCAAAGTTGTTGAGAATGCATGTACATTGGAATTGGAATCCATTAAGATTAAGATTTTTTGAAATTTCGCAACTTATATGGAATCCATGTGAAACATTGGAATTGTAGTCATTACTATTTATCTGATTATAAGTTATAAAGTTTAGTCCTTTTTTTATTTTAAAATAAAGAGATTAGAGGTTGATGTGCTGGATATTGTTAGTTCATTAGGGGTGGTGGAGTGCAGTGTTATTTAAGGCGTAAAGTGAATCAAAGCGAACTGGGTTCCTAAAGGCCTAGGCGAGAAGCGAAGCGAGCGCTTCATTGAAGCAAAACGAACAATATAAAAAATAAGCAAATATTTTAGTTTCATACTTTGATTACTCCTAAATATTCAAATTTTAACTTTACAAATACAAAATATTTAAATGCAATCAAAATAATAAATATCAACATATTTTAAATAGACAAGATATTAAATATTGAACAATATTGTATTCTAAAAATAATCAATTGACATAATTACGTCATCTAAATGTAAAGTTAACAAATGTGGGTTCAACTTCCACCGTAATTGATTAATATTACCACTTAACAAAACACTCACAAATTAATTAATCAAATAGAGCATATAGTAAATTGATTAATCAAATTGATTAACCAAAAAAATTGATTAACAAGAGCATTCACATCAAAACAAAGCATTCAACATTATCTAATCATAATAAGACATGTGTCATATGATACTGTTATACGAATCAATCAATTTATTTTATATATATATACATATAACATTATCTCTATTAGGGTTTGGTTAATGTTAAAGAAGGAGGAGGAGGAGAAGGAGGAGGAAGAGAAAATAAAAAAACTGTAGGTAGGCGTTCACTTTTCTCGTCTGGCTCGCTTCTTTGCTTCGTTGCCTAAGCTCGCTTTTTTCTCGCTTTACTTAACCTCGCTTCGCCTTGAATGTTCAAGGCTCGCTTCGCTTCGCTTCTCACCTAGGCTCGCTTTTCACAACACCGGTGGAGTGAGTGGATTTTGTGGCTGGAATCAATTTTTGACCTAGTCAGCAGCACCTGAAGAATTCCATCTAAACGGACCATTTTAGTCTATAGGAGGAACCCTGCAAGTAATCCCATCAATACTAAAGCCCCAGTAGGTAAAAAAATGAAATTTGAATATGTCTATTTCATTATTCCATATATATGATCACCATGGAAAGGGAGATGGAAAACTAGAAATGAGTTAGACGAAGGAGCTATTTCAACATAAAATAACGGTAAATCAGAATAGCAACAACATAAGAGGTGGGAGGGGGGCGAAAAATTTCCTGCGTATGGAGTCTTTCAGCGGTCCCTCTTTGATGGACAGGTCTGCTTTGACCTTAATGTTGAAGTTCTGAAAAAACTCAGAATTAATTGACCAGCTGCAGGTGATACTAAGAGTTGCAGACTTAACCCTTTAGTCTTACCTCCGCTCTATAAGAATCTAGCTCACATTTGAAAGGGAAGACCTTAGCCCATTCCAAAGGAAGCCCGGGATGGGGTTTAAAAATTCTTTTGATGTCTTCGGGGTGCACTTAAAGGTTGCCAGATAATATAAAGGTTTGGAAGGAAGAATGAGCGGACTGTGATAGAGAGGATAGGAAAGGAACGCACCCATATTCATCTTTGTTAAATTTCCTATACATTGATGATATACACTTGCCAATTTTTATTCTGATCGTTGATTTCTTAACACATTACCAGTTCTAAGTAGACATTCAGTTTTAAATTTAACTTCCATATCCCTGATTTTTTAAAGTCTGATTAACCTGCAAATTTCATATACCTGACACTGTTCCTAAACAGGTTAACTTCTTAAGTCAAATTCGTCTGAGTCACAAGGGAGAGGGCCCTAAGGTGGCAAAGCGTTTGATAGATGTATATTTCGCTCTGTTTAAGGTATTAGTAAAGATCTCGTTGTCGTTTGTAGTGTAAGCGATATATAATTATCCGTTTTAAAAAATTATTTTTGTCCTTCTGACAATTTTTTTCTAACCTTGCTGTTTCAGGTATTAATTTCGGAGGCTGGTGGAGAACTTAAGATGAACAAAGACAGCAAAGAAGGACACAAAAAAACTTCCAGCTCTTCCAAAGCTAATCAAGTGAAAAGCCCGGTGGAATCTCATGTTGACATGGATTCCCGTTTATTGTCAGCTCTTCTAACAGTTAGTATAGAGTTCTTGTTTTTTTACCTAAGCATTTATGTTTAAAGAAGAATTACACTAAACTGACGTTTACACTACCTTTTTGAATCTTTCATCGTCCCCCACACATATTTCCCTTGTTTTTGTTAGTCCCTATAAGTCTCAGAGATTAAAAAAACCTGTTGATGCTCAGCTACAATTATGGCAGATTAAGAGTTGGTGCCTTTATTTCGTGTTTTTAAAATATTTCTCTGCTCATACTAATTGATACTTTGTTTTTGATGATTATACAATTGGTGCCTGTGCATAGATCCTTGTAGATGGAGTTGGCAATAAGTTTGGTTTGGTGTAGATTAAATTGGGTTGGCTCCAAAACTCTAATTTGTACTAAAACTANTCCCAGTTCATGGTACTTTGTTTTTGATGATTATACAATTGGTGCCTGTGCATAGATCCTTGTAGATGGAGTTGGCAATAAGTTTGGTTTGGTGTAGATTAAATTGGGTTGGCTCCAAAACTCTAATTTGTACTAAAACTATGATATAATGTTTTGAAATCAAATCAAGAAAATGAAAAACATAGAAAATCTGAAAAAATAGTAAATGAATCATCAGGTTGATAGTAGTAAACTTGTAAGCCAACCCTACAGGTGTAGAAATGGGCTCCAGATATACAAATCTGCAAGCTAGTCTCCCAGGTGTAGTTAATGTGATGGATAACTACATGGACAGCTCTATGTTATTATCATTTTTGTTGACTCTGTATAACTGCTGCTCTTTTTTTTTTTTTTGTTATTTCTTGTTTTTGTCTTAAGGTCTTTTCGTGGGACCATATCAAATTATTTATACTCCTTGTTCCCCTTTATTATGGTTCATTTGGCACGGATGTTTTGACGTGGTGTAAAGAATGTCCTCTCATACCTTTTCTTAATGACTTATGTCTTGTTCATCCTCTTCTGCAGGGGGTTAATAGAGCATTTCCTTATGTTTCAAGCAATGAAGCTGATGACATTATTGAGGTCCAGACACCTATGATATTTCAGCTGGTAAGCTCAACGCTAATTGTTAATTTGTTTTTTATTGAGACTGAAGCATCTGTTCAAATAATATTCTTCGTCATTGCTGGAGTTTCATTTTGTATGTTCATTACGTGAGGGATTCCAGAAGTTGGTTGTTTAAATGTGCAGGTTCATTCAAAAAACTTTAATGTGGGCGTTCAAGCACTAATGCTTCTTGATAAGATCTCATCCAAAAATCAGATTGTCAGTGATCGATTTTATCGTGCCTTGTATTCAAAATTGCTGCTTCCAGCTGCCATGAATTCATCCAAGGCAAGGCTATCTACTTTCATCGTCCAATCTTTTTGATATGTGTGCTTCTTTAGGTCTCACTTTTGCGATAACACCTGTATGAGTTGAGATTTTATAAGACTGGTATTGTCAAAAAGCCTTTCCATTGTTTGGACTTCCTGTCCACTTTTGACTTGGCTCTTTTGTACTTTTATTGTACTCTCTTTCATCTTTTATGATTAATATCACCATTGTTTCTTATCGAAAAAAAGGCTTTCCATTATGCAATAATCTAATGAAAGAGCAGTTTGAAAGTGGTCTTTCTTTGACCTACAAATGCCTTGCTGCCATTTGATAGCCTTCAATAATTTTTGTCATGCTATACCCCATTGTCTTGGACCTCTTGGTTAAAGTTTAAAATTTCTGACGTATCTTCTGGTTCTTGAGTCTCTCACAGATCTGATTATTTAAGTTTCTTTCTGGTGGTCAATATGTTACACCTTTGGGGTGATGCCATCATGCCACCGTTACTTCTGAGAAATTATTCCTTTCTGGCTCTTGTAGTTAGTTTCATTCATGATTTTTAATGTGAGCATTTCTATTTGAAATGAAAACTTCAGCTTAAAACGTGGCATAAAATTCTTGACTTCGTTCTTCATTAAGTTAACCCGTCCACTCCTTTAAGATTTTTTTAACAGTGATTACCTTACTAGAAGGCATCCAGTGGTACCAAAATGTCCTACCTCTAATTCTTCACACCTTGTGTGTTTGTTTGATTTGACTTGTGCCCATACCTTGATTTCGGCATGAATATTCTGATCATAAACTAAGCAACTGTTTTTTCTTTGTAGTACTTCATTTTTCTGTTGCGCTTTTGTGTGAATGTTTTTTTTTACATGAATTAATTTTCAGGAAGAAATGTTTATTGGGCTACTTCTGAGGGCTATGAAAAGTGATATTAATCTAAAGCGAGTGGCTGCCTTCTCAAAGCGTTTGTTACAGGTTTGTGCTGAAATTCTGTTCCTTTATTTGGGCCTTGTGATGGTACATCATGTGTTAAGTCCATCTNTGTGCTGAAATTCTGTTCCTTTCCGGAAAGAAAATTCTGTTCCTTTATTTGGGCCTTGTGATGGTACATCATGTGTTAAGTCCATCTTCTATTTGGAATGCCTCAAGACTATCCCCTTCTATGTTTTTTTAAGGGGTTCACATAACATGAACCTAATTTGGGAGACTGACCACAGTTTGAAGAGATTTGGACTAAGGATGTCAACTATTTTAACTCATGTTCTGATCAACTATGCCTCTCCCAGCACCCATTGAGCAATTTTGTAGTCCATTGGGGTTAAAGAGAATCCAAGTCGAGCCAATTTCCAGAAGCGTTACTGATCATGTAATTGCGCTAAATCTATAATTCATTGACTCTTCACTCTTTGGATGGGTTCAAGAATCCTGCAAATTTTAGGATCTCAAATGCTCCAAGATTGTGATAGGATTCTGGAAAAGAGCACTGTTGATAACTTTTAGCCACATTACTCTGTATATTCTAGTAATAGAAGTGAATGGATAGTTGATTAATCCTTTTCCTCAATTCGTTTTTCCTTGTTGTGTTGCGTGCTGGGCATTTAAGAGGACTGGTGCTTGGTGTTTGTAGAACTCAATAGTACTCTGCATACTTGCCGAGGAGACTGAGAAAATGAAATTTCTGGTGCATTAATTATGTCTTCTTATCATTTTAGATCCTTTCCATTGCTTTTTTATTATTTTTTTGAGACAATTCGAGTTTGTAAGTTTCATTAAAGAGAAAAGATGAAGCAATGGTTGTATTTATGGGGCCCTATGCCAGTCAGACCGGTGAAATTTTGTGTCCACTTTCTGGATATGATTAACTATCGACTGCTCTCATTCCTGAACAGGTTGCCCTTCAGCAGCCGCCTCAGTATGCCTGTGGATGTCTTTTCCTCCTCTCTGAAGTTCTTAAAGCAAGGCCACCTCTTTGGTAGGGCTAGTTTTGACCACTACCCATTTCTATTTTTATCACCTGCTTGCATATTTTCACATTCAAAATTTAGAATTTTACCTATATCATATAGGAACATGATGCTTCAGGATGAGTCAGTTGATGAAGATCTTGAGCATTTTGAAGATATTGTAGAAGTAGAAAGTCAATCAAGCCCCACATCGGAGCAACCCTCGTTGGAGAAACCAGATAATGCTGGTGAGGGTTCACCAAGCAGCAGTGGTAGTGATGCTGACAGTGATGAATCACTTGACGAAGGTGGAAAAGCAATTTCTCTCTTTTCAGATGATGTTTCAGATGAAGCAGATGATGTGCTTATGGGAGGTAGTTTGAACAATCCGCAGGAATCTAAAATGAAGGCTGCTGACAATGGACACCAATCTCAGCAGTCAAACACGGAGTCTTCGTTGCCTGGTGGGTACAACCCAAGGCACAGGGAACCTTCTTACAGGTACTAACATCTGCTTAGTTTTGAATTTGAATAGTTGTCTACAAACAAGCTGTTCTTTTATGTGTGCCAAATTTATGTATTGGGTAGCATGTGTCCTTTTACTTTGTACTTAGAAAAAGAATAATTAACCTTATTCATTTTATTGCTACTGATGAAGTTCTCAAGGGTGATAAAAAGGAGATTATAACAATTTGGCACTTATATGTATGGCCACAGTTTGCTCTTGTTAATTGTGTGATCTTGGCTTGTCAAAGTCACCGTTATACTCTATCATTATAGTACGTCTGAAAATGTTTTCCCTTTTTTCTTTTCCCATTTGTTTCTTTTTATTATTCATTAGATATCTTTAAAATTGTGTTGGTTTTATCACCACTATCTGATTTTATGAATCAACAGCAATGCAGATCGTGTAAGCTGGTGGGAGCTGATAGTACTGGCTTCACATGGGCACCCATCAGTTGCTACCATGGCCCGAACCCTTCTTTCTGGGACCAACATTGTGTACAATGGGAATCCACTAAATGACCTTGCACTTACTTCTTTCCTGGACAAGTTCATGGAGAAGAAACCAAAGCAGAGCACATGGCATGGTGGTTCCCAAATTGAACCCGCCAAAAAGGTTGGTTTCTTTGTTCCATGGAGAGGTTATATTCTTCTTTATGCCTCAGGTTTCCACCTTACAAGTGAGGGTTTCAGATGTTAGCTCTGTCTAATTAATATTATACATTAAATCCTCTCCTTTCTGTTCTCTCTCCCCCCCCCCCCCCC